GGCACTGTCTGCCCCGAACAAGCAGTTCAAGCTATTTCCCGCCTCTGCGATATGAGCAGAGGAAAATCTGACGCGATGTGACGTACGTCCCGTGTGCCGTCAGCGTCGTTCAAGCCATCCCGCTCTCATGTGGTAAAATATATATCAGTAAAACTGGAAGATGCATCAAAGAGTGCCTGAGGGAACACTCACAAAAGAATAACGAAAATGCAGATAAAGGAGCCCATCTTGTGGCTCAACGAACGCTTGCTTCAATTCTCTGGAAAGATTTGAAAGGACGTCGATCCTCGGCAGGAGAAACAATGAGCATGCGCTGCTGGCTTTGGAAGCCTATCGTATCAGAAAAATCTTTGCATAAGTGACACGTCTCTTTCTCTACGTCAATCTGAGTTTTAGTTCATTTAATTTCAACTGTGATTACACTTTTTTTGTGTCTGTTTATTGTCGATTGTGTGGCGCATGTGCGGTAAGGCTGCCTTGGAGGTATATATGCATTGCCGAAATACAGTCAGTTGATATTCAGCACTTGTGTCTGTCGTCTCTTTGTGGCGTGTCTGCGTTAGCGCTGTAAATGTACATCTATGAATTCTGAAGTGAGTCAATTGACCTTTTTCACGACAGGAACAGCATCCGTAGCGGCGAGAGCAAAAAGGAAATTCGGTGGCTTTCCAGTAAAGGCGACAGCATGGAATCTTGTGTGTTCCTTTGCACCCATTGCCTCCTAGACGGTGCGCCGACAGGTTTCGCAGGCCACGAGCCACCGAAAATGCAAAAAAAAAAAAAGGTTTGGGAGTAGCGCTTTAGAAGCGTTTGCAGTGCGCATATGTGCAGATGGCGCCTGTGAAAAGGGTCCATTCTGTGCCTATCAGACTTGTTATCAGCTCAATAGAAGATTGCATGTAGGCCTGTGAGGATAGGGTATATGGACAAGTATATTGCTGCGGAATTCCTTGGGCACTAGCACGACGGCTCACTCAGAAAGCGAGTAAAGTGACAGTAAAGAGCTTCCTCTCCCTTATTTCTTTATTTTCTGTGGAAGTCGTCAAGCTGATAACCAAAACTGTTATAATGGTTTACTCGTTAACTTTTGTGCATTAAAAATTGACAGCAACATAGACAGACTCAAATCATCAACGATGCAAAACAAGCTATTATAACATGTTATAAGGGTGCTGACTTGGGCTTGTTCGTTTGCCATACTCGTAAATTGTTGCTCGGGAAAGAGGTAGACAGAAACACAAGGAGGCCTTTCTGTATTCCTGTCTACGTCTATCACGTGCAACAGTTTACGAGTATGGCAAACGAAAAAGCCCGATTGGACACCCTTATAATATGCTGTAATGGCTCGTTTTGCATTTATAACGCTATACTACAGCAAAAAAAAAAAAAAAAAACGCGAAAACCTCTTAACTTGGGCTTGCAAGACTTCTTCTAGATGATAGCCAGCGCAACGCAAAACAACGAAACTTCTAAACTTGGTCTTGCAAGACTTCTTTTAGATGTCAACTGCAGCCGTCTACGGCTATGAAATATCTTGACGAAGACGTCTGTTAGCCCATTCATCTAAGCGTTCAAGACGTTTATTAAACGTGAAATGACTTCTTTTGTGTTTCACGGGTCCCCTCCTTCGAACATCTCACGTTTAATGCACGTACATACCCCATAAAGTGGAGGGTGGGGGGTGATAGCCGCCATGGTAGCCCAGTTGAGAGCAACGACGAATAACGCAGGTTCGGTCCCTTCCCACGGCAAGTTATTTTTTCATCCACTTTTCTTGCTTCGCATTTGCATTACAATTAATTCTAATAATATTCATTATACTCTCCTTGGCATAATTGCCTGTCAGTTCTCATGCATCAGTGTTGCTTCTAACAAATAAAAATGAGCCCTCATGTATTACTCCTTTTTTTCCTCATTCATAACGAGGGTCTTATTCCGGCAGACCTCAGGTGGTATGCGAGAGATTATTGGTCAGCTTCCAGCTCGTAATAAGATGATGTGCTACGTGAGGCCAATAGGTAAAAAAAAATGAGTGTCCCACAATCGCCGCAATGACAACAGGCGGCGCTGACTACAGTTAATGCACAGAAAACCACACGAACCCCAGCGCTTTCTTCACGCCCATAGGGCACCACAGCTGTCTTCTCTTATCTTACACCCTCAATCTCACTCTGCGCTCCTCCTTTCTCATGGGATCTCTGACGTCCCTAAGCAGGCCTTCAGTCACAGACACCACGTCCGGCATGAACCCTGTGACCTTAAGGGGGGTCACCTGCTCCAAAAAGGCGTCACCCAACTTGTGGCGACACGACTTGCACAGGGCCTTCTGCGAGGCCGAGTGCGCAATTGGCTAGCTTCGAGTGCCTCGACGAGGAGGGCAGCAATGGCTTCTGCGCACGAGGCTCCTACCGCCAACAGGTGTGCTGTCTCGAAAAAAGAAAAAAACAGCCTCATGTCTAGAAACTTGATGGTACCACATTCAAGGAGCGCGTACGTGGCCTCAAGTGGTTGGAGCTCGTCCTGGAATATCTTTAAGATTGACATGGCATCCTGTTCGCGACCTGCCAAATCTGCCGAGTAAAATACTGTCACGCGTATAGACAGGTACATAAGGCACGTGCGCCGAAATGACACAGGAGGAATGAAGACGACGATGTGGTTGTGGCATAGAGGAAGGAAAAAGGGTTGTGGGGTTGTGTCTGGGCAGCCATGTTGTCCTGCATCCTTGCACGCTGTGTACAGTGTTAGCCCAACCGGCGTTAACTTATTAAATCCCGTTACATATTTTTGGTTGGAATGCTGGGTCACGTCCCGACTCTGGATGACTCTGGATCCCGACTCTGGCGGTTATACTAAAACTTCTGGAGTGGCTCCGTGGCTAATGCCGATCACCGCCATATTGCTCAGGGCAGAAAGCGGATGGGCGCATGGTGGCGTATGTAGCTTTCGTGTTGTTTTTGTGCCAGTAATGTTGCGTGTGGGGGCTCTAATTGAACAAGACGGTTTTGAACACGTATTTGATCACTTTCCGAGACGACAGTGGTAGGCTTTTGGATAGCATTTGGCTGCGCAAATCGTGCGAAGCGGGCACCGGGCACAACTTTCGATGTGTAAGTAGGCACGCTTCGCTCGCCCGCTTTTCCTCACATATTTTCGCGACTACGACTGCATTCGCGAGTACATAGATTTCATCTTTTGCGTCTGGGTGCGCAGAGATACTTTGAATAATTTTTTTGTACATTTCAGGTCGTATTGCGCGGCACATGAGAGTGCGCTCTGAGGCGAGAAGGTTAAGCGCCAAAAAATAATGACGACTTATGTTGAGTACACATGTTGAAGCAGGCTGCGTCGATGAAACAGGGTAAATAACTAGACGACGAGCTTGTAACGATACTACCGTATTTGCATCGTTTCCATGCGTACTTCAAAAGCCAGTACGTGAGGGCGCCTAATACAAGTGAGTGCTTCGTTTTTGAAAGGTAGTTAATCTAGCACCGCCTCTGCATTTCTGAAATTTTGAGTTTCTAATGTTTGCATGAGCACTACGCTCCCAATGCCAACATTTTTCATATGCTGAGATTTGATTCTCTTTGTGTAGAAGAAAAAGGAAACGGGCTGCTCTGAAAAGTCAGAAAAGTACACTTTCGCTTAAAGCGCCTCTAATTGATGGAGCTGTGAAAATCCCGCCGCCCCCAAACCTAACCCACAGCGAAGTGGTACAGGCAAAAAAAAAAAACAACAAAAATTGAATTAATCGCGAACGAGGTACAATTAACAGCTGAAAAAGAAAAGTAACATATCGCAGCAGTGATAATGAGGCTTTTACAATATATTAAGACCTCTCGAAATTTCATTGACAAGGTAATGGAGCAGGGCATATTATCAGATGAAGAATTGGAAGTTTTCGAAGCATCGTTTTGTCCGGATATCCAGGAGCTTCTCGAACGAAAACGTAAAAAGCCAAATACCCCCCCTCCCCTCCCCTATAATAAAAAGAGTTTATACACACGATGTACTGTGATTCGCCAAGGGCTCATGGTTTTGTGCGAGTGAAACTTTTATTTTCGCTGCATGTCCTCACTGGTTACTTCTGCGGTGGGGCAAAACTGTGTAAATATATGATGCGAATCGATATCCCTGAGTACCATTGTTCTTTTTTTTTTTTTTACAGCGAAAGTGGTTATGAGACCAGAACACGGATCACGCGCGGCGCCGTAGTTGTCCGCCGCCGCCCGTAACCAGTATCGAACAAAAAACACACACACAAAAAAAACTGGGTAAATGGAAAAACGCCAACAATAGCACAATGAGATTCCAACCCGGGTCCGCTGCGTGCCTGCCCAGTATTCTACCACTAAGCCACGCCAGTGTTTGTGGTACAATACTGGTAATATATATATATATATATATATATATATATATATATATATATATATATATATATATATATATATATATATATATATATATATATATAGTGGGAGTAATAATTCAATGGGCCAGTTAGTCTTCGTGAAGGTATGGGATATGGTACAACGGGAGCGTTGTCAACAACAAGGATAAATATATTTATTTCCCAACAGTTTCGGGAGGGGTCCTCCCTTCATCAGGGGATGAGTTATACTGACATGAACTTCCAAACTTCGTTGCTGCCGCGTCCCTCTTGCCTTGAAAGATGTTTGCGAGAGTGAGAGGGAACTAAAAAAAAGAAAAAAAAAGGGGGGGGGGAAAAGACGAAAAAGAAAGTAAAAAAGAGGAAGAACCACTGTCAACACTGAGAACCAAACCAACTGTCCGTGTACGTCCATATATATATATATATATATATATATATATATATATATATATAATGTCCCGGTGGACGAGTGAGGTATAGGTCTGCCCCCGCACTCGCGAAAGAGTTGGTAGGCCACTGATCCTTGTTACTTTGGTTATCCTTTCTCTGCAATTGCTCCTCGCGCTTCATTAGGGTGGGGAGTGATGCGATTGTGATGTTGCAGGTGGGAAACGCCAGGAGCAGCCATGCCACCGTTCTGATTTTGGAGTAAGTTATGGTGTGGGAGAACTGGAGCAGCAGCAATGGTAGTGAGAAAACGAGAGAGAGCCGCGTCTCCTAGCAACCACCTCCTCCTCCTCTTTGACACACAGTTGTCGACTCTCCGCGCAAAGGTATGTCCGAATCGCTGCTCTTTCGTTCGGTTCGTGGCATTTGACGACAGCATTCGCTCGCGTCATCTGCTGAGGGTAGGGTAAACATATGCTGCTGGCACTCTGTAACACGCCGACGCTTTTGACCGACTCGTACACGCGTTTCGACTACAAAACGCCCACTGACGTTGCATTCACCCGAAGACGGCACCACGACGACGGTGAGTTGACTGTTGACGCTACGACCGTGATGCCGCTAGCGACATCGCTCGTTTATGACTGATCGTCTCGATATTTTCAGTGTCGCATTGGTTCTGAAAATACACTAAAGAAGAACACACGCACACACACAGAAAGAGAATAACTCGTTTCGTAGTTTTGCTCGCCTTGTTAGCTTTTCACGGTCGTGCTTTCCGATCGTCCGGACCACTGTAAACGTTAAAAAAACCGCGATTATTTCTGTCGTTTGTTACTGCATCTGATATGTAAACTTGAGTTACGCCACCAGGAATTGGACACGGTGGCATAATATTGTTTTGATTTTTCATATAGCGTGGTTACAATAAAGAAAAAAAAAACGTACTACTCGGAGTATGCTCACTACTAGGCAGTTTCCGTTCTGTGTTCGCGAAAGGAACAACCACTTGTAGATGATTTCGAACATGCGACCACGAATACCGATACTTTTCCGGATTAACTCAATCGTACCAATAGTAAAAGTGAAAATCAGATTTGTCGATATACTAGTGCTTTCGTGATATTTGTTACGAAACCACGATATCGTACGTCAAAGCCACGGTTTTCGAACTCTTCACATCGTGGCAGCGAACTCCTCACCCGCGGTGTTCTGACTACAAATGCGCTGCGGTCGGATTTTGCTGGATTCGAGTTTTACAAAGGCGCAGTTTCGAAATTTGCGCTAAACTACGTAGAAATCCCTGCCACGCGTCTCAGTTGGACTCAAGATCAAAATGTGTTGTTTACTTATTTCCAAGAATGGAGCTGATGATTGAGAAAGAAAACAGTATAGCAAAAGAACACCAATAATAATAATAATAATAATAATAATAATAATAATAATAATAATAATAATAATAATAATAATAATAATAATAATAAAGTATTGTACATACTTTACATACCAGTGGTATGCATAATGATCTTGACACCTAGTGGTATAACTCATTGATCTGTGCATATTTTATCATGCTTTTCAATTGAATGACCTTGAAAACGGTGTAGTTTGGGGTGAAACCAGGGGGTTTTTAAAGTGCCGGAGTGCAAGGTTTTGCAACTTCTTTAATAGCAAGTGTGAATTTCTACGACTGCCTCCCTGCTGTGCTTTACGTTTGTCGACTTCTCAAACTGCCTTTGAGCAGCTTTTACCTACAACCGCTCCATCTCTGTTTGTAAGATGGGAAATAAATTGAATTGAATTAAGTCTGAACTTGCCCTTGATTTACCTAAGAGAATTGCCTTTTTTGTGTATTGCTTGTTTTTAGAAATAGTGGTTTTGTTATGGTAGCATAAATATGGTGTTAATCTTAAAATGAGCAATTACTGTTCACTGAAAGAGACGCTTAAACTAGTTGGTTGGAATTCATTATGTCGTGTCTTTCCTGGTCTTTGTCTTGTTTTAGTGCTATTTTTTTATAATGAAGTCGCTACTCCTGATGAAACTAGTGCATTCAGATGAGTATTGGTAATATGATGTCTAATAACATTAGACAATATTTTGAGGCTTCTCGAGATTACATCTATTGAAATGATTGAAGATATGTACTTTGACTTAACAAAGAAAATATAACAAAAGCTATGCAGACAATTTGTTAACTATGCTGGTGGCATCCTGAGTGTGCACTAGCACAGTGCATACTCAGGATGCCTACCGCATAGGTGGCAATACGTCGGTGTACTTTTTGTTATATTTTGTTGTGTTAAGTCAGAGTACGTATTTTTAATCATGAACTCACCTGGCTTTTAGAATATTTTTGTATGTAGTAAAATACCCAATAATGGCAATAGGAGACTGACAGCTTTGAAAGAAAATGGGATGTCTTACTCAAAGGTTGTAGGAACATTCGGTCCCTACCAGGGACAAGGTGTTTTTTTTTTTCCACTTTACTTCCTGTCTACTTATGCCGAAAAAACAGCTAAATGCAGCAAACGTTGTCTCTGATATCTTCCTTGACTTCAATGCCTGGCAGTTTCATTAGGTTAAGCAACCAGTACCTTAAGGAGGCACATTGAGCTGTACCTTTCTGGACCTATTAGCAGTCTCAAACTCATTATATCATGTGTGTAAGAAAATTGTTATTCGCTTTAGCTTGTTATGCAAGCTAATGTTTTATCATGCCCATGGTGAGATATCGGAGGTCTGGCTTCACTTGCGGCTCATGATTTCCTCCACAGCATTTATTTTTAATACCTCCTTTGCCATAAAATCCCAAGAAAGCACCGCCATTTCTCATGGGAGACTTGGCATATGCGGTCTCTTCTCTCTTACCACCATTTTTAATGTATTATTCACTGTTTCTATTTGTTGAACAAGGGTGAATAAAAGCATCAATAAAAAAGTATTTAATCAGGAGCAGGTGTTTGCATTCTTTATTGTGAGTGGCTCTTCCATTTTGAATTTTCAAACATGACCGAGCAAGGACCCCCCTTCCAAATCTTCTCGAATTATGCTGAAGGGGCTGATTGCTCAGGATTTTATGGTAAACATATTGAAATGAAAACAGGGTTTTGCATTCATGCATGCGATTCATGCAGAAAGAAAACGCTAGAGTGGAACCTCTCGCAACTTTTTGTGAGCTAATGTGCAGCCAGCATCTGACCACACTAACCTCTTGCCCTTTTTTTTCTTTTCGAAAATGTTGTGCCTTGCACTGATCACTTAATAGCAGACAACAACTCCTTTGAGATATGTGGTAGCAGCCTCGTAAATTCACTCCCTTCAGCTTGCTTTCTATGACCAGCATACTATAGGCTTCGAGCACACATGTAGAGTAGTGAAAAAGTATAGGTGAGCCTGAACACATGCATGCAGCAGGGCACCCGAAAACTTGGTTGAGCTTTCAATTAGTCAAGAAATCTATTACAAGACAATATGTCACGTTTAGATAAGTACCATTCACTCGGAAGGAAATACTTCGACCATGGCCAACAGCGGGCCTACAGTAAAAATAACGTGTATTAAAGTTTCTTGAAAAAACAAATACTTTATGGAAAAAAATTTCGGCAGATCCCACGTACCTTGGGAATTAATGTTATCAGAAGCATGCGAATTGAAGGTGACTGTGTTGTAATATTTTATTAAGTGAACCGTTATGAAGTTACAATTAAGATATGTACTAATGCATACAAAGGAATACGTTAAATAGCAACATGTGTCTTATATAGCCAGTTGTTGACAGTTGCGTAATGATGCCAGCAACAACATGGATATTAGCAACACCAGAAGTGGTACGCTGATATGAAGCATTAGTGCTCGCGAGACTGGTAGCCTAAACGCTGCTACAAAAATAAACTTCAGCAGATGGCGTCTAACTACAACGAATGTCAACCTGACATGACGGCTGTGTCATAGTACATAGGCAATGTTTATAAAATTGGATAGTCAGCACTGCAACCACAACTGACGTTTCATGAATGTTACGGTCTATTTGAAAAGTAGTTCTGAGACCTGTCGTGGCTCTCTGGTAGAATACTTGATTGCCTTGCAGAATGCTGGGATTTGATTCTTGTTGGGACCCCTGACATTTATTCTTTCCATTCAATGCTACCGATGTCAGTTTTTTTAACGCTCATCTGTTGAAATGATCCATGTCTATTCTCGCTATTCCTGGGTAGATATAAACTGTCGATCACCTGTGGCACGTACGTGAATACCTGTGGTACATACCCGAGGGTGTGTATGTGCCACAAGTCTAGGCAGAAAGGGTTTGACGATGTACGGGACAGGATTTTGACATTATTGATGTCTTGACCAGTGAGTCATATTCGTCAAACCATCTTACCCTGCTATATTACAGTAATTTAGGTTTACCCCAAGTTAAGGGGATGATCACCGGAGCAACTGGATGTAGGTGGCTATACATACAGACACATGCTCAATGTGTCTGCAGTACACAAAGACAAGCTTCGCATTTAATTTTAAGCTTCTGCTTATCCTATAAGCCAACTGAACGGTCAGTGTACTCCTAAGTGGATAACATTGCTTAAAATTCCTTAATGTTGTGATTACATGATGTACTTTATGCATATCTTTTTTATTTGTGTCCCTGTGTATGACAAGCCATATACAAAACGTCTGTCTTTATGTGTGTGCATTTACACTGGGTTTACTTATGTTAGTTTGTACTGAAACATTTGTGATTTAGTAGCGTACTCTGGGGCTCTATTGCACTTATACATGATGTGTTCTGCTGGGTTGCATTTCTTGTCCTTTTTATCTTTTTTTTCACTAAATGAGATGGTGCAGCCAATGCCACCATAAAGGCGCCAACCTTTCCTGAAGTTCATTTCAATAAAAAGAAAGTTAAAATAGCTCTACCATATACTGCTAATACTTCTGAAATGCAAGACCTTTCACTTGTGCGACCAAGTTAGTAGAGCATTGCCATTGTCTTTCAGTTAGTGTTATTTGATCATTACATCAACTTTCAAAGCCCCAGAATTTCCCAGCACTGTTGCGCTCATTGGCATCAGCGAACACTAACAGGGTTGCTAGTGCATTCACCTAAGATGACTCCAAGGCATATTCCTCTTATTCACTGTCGATGTATGAGAAAGCAGGGAATGCGTACTGACTTTCCAGATGCATCAGGTGGCTGGCCTCGTTAAACCTGATTCAAGGGCTGATGTAATTAGAGTTCATGCATGGCCTCCGAGATGTGTGACCAAAAGGGGATCTCGGGAGACACCATTCATTGTGGGGAAATTCATTCGGTCTTTGTCATTTGTGTCTAGAGTTGTGAAAGCTGCGTAGTGTCAAAATGATGTTGCAGAAGAAAGTCCGGAAACAGGCGGTGTCCTGCTTGCCGAGCTCCAGCCAATCTGTAGATGCCCAGCTGGCATTTATTTTTTATTTATTTAATATAACCCCTAAAGGTACCCAAAGGGGCGCTACATAGGGGAACAGATGCATGAAGCAAAGTGATGTATGTTTACACAGGGCAGGACAAGATTATACAAAGTAACAAAAGCGAGCGAAATACGCAGATAAAAAAACAAAACAAGGTTCAATCAGTGAATGAGAATTAGAGGAGAGATAGAAGATTGACTAAAGCAAACATGAATTAAGGGCACTAACAAATATGGTATTCAAGAAAAAGAGGTAAAGTAAAATGAAGTCTTAATCGGAAACTGCCACATTTGCACTTAACAAATAAATGAATATTGGTAATGAAAATTGTTAACAAATTATTACAACAAAAAATTATGCACTGAAGAACTTATTAGAATTGTTGAAAGTGTATGTGTGATGAATATTTACTCGAAATTGTGTGAAAGTTCCTGAAACATGAAATCGGCTTCAGTGGCAATGTGGGATGGCAGGTTATTTCATTGTGCAACTATTGTTCGTCGGATGAAAGCTACTGCATTAAGTAGACAATAGTAAAAAAAAAGAAAAAACTAAATTTTGGTAAATTGAATGAAGTGGGGAATATGTTTGTACTTGATTGCAGCCCCTTCTTTTATTTTTACTGTACTTGAGCTTGATAAAGATTTTGAATTTGGCAATACCTCTGTATAAGATTGACTGTTATGTTTTGTGTTCAATGTTGAAGCAGACAATCGGGATCCACTTGACTGTTTGTCACTGTTGTCTCCTAAAGTAGTGTCATGCTATCTCTCCTTGCCTTCTTAGGATGATAAACAAATGAAATCTCAAGTGAAAAGGTGTGTGTGTGTGTGTTTGTGTGTGTGTGTGTGTGTGTGTGCACGCGTGTGTGTGCACGTGTACACCTACACGTGTGCCTTTGCCTGCTTGTTTTCTACTACCTGCAAGAAGCGAAGAAAGAGAGGTGACTGCTTTGAAGAGACTTTGCTGCTAAACCAATAGACATATTTTACTTAAAGCAGAAATTGCAAAACAAGTTCTGTTTTTGTTTGGTTTCTTGTACTGCTTGTGTCAGTGGTTGCTTTGTGTAGCGCGATCAAAGCACCAAAGCACAGCAAAACATATGCAAATGTAGTAAAGCAGTAAAAAGCTCAGCTGCATGTGCCAAGTCTTGTCTACTGCTCAGAAAAATTCTAAATTGCAGTTGAACTCCTTTATAAGAGGCATGCACCATGCAGCAATTCTTGTTCCTTATAGTATGAGTTAAAAGCAGAGTACCACGTAAGCATTTTCTTATCAACCTGTATTTTACTGTAGGCACACTGCTGTCTTTTACTCTCAATTTTTTCTTACGTGAATGTCTCCTATAAAGGAATTCGGCTGTAGTGGCATATATTAGAATATGCTTCCACAATGTGCAACCCATATAATTGGTTAATTTTTATTTTGGGGAGTCAGTCTAGAAAGACATCGTTTGTATCCGTCACTTCAACTGAGACTTTTCACCAACGGCTGCTCTTTCGAAATTAAACTTCTAGGCAGTGCACACAAAATCTTGATTGTCTACTTGTTTTTAACTATTCAGGTCCCTTTCTTTTAGTGCCTGCTCGATCAACCACCCCTTATCATGCCTCAAACATCAGATACCTGCACACTTTCTCCCCCACATGACAGAACGTTGAAAAATTACCTGCCATAGTTCGTTCATTGCCCATTTCTCAGTTTTTAAACGTTATTGCCGACTTATAGTTCCTTTACATTTTCAATGTTCGTGTTTCTGTCTCTGCACATCCCAATTATTTTTACTTACCCACACCTGCCATAGCACTAATGAGCTGTATATTTAAAATGAAGTCATTGTACAAACTTTGTCGTGACTGAACAGGTGGTGCCAGGCATACTTCTACTCGACACCCGGCTGTGGAATGAAAAGGCTACCTCCTCTGCTTGTTGTTCTTTTTGTTGGTGCTGGCATCTATGGCTCTGAAGTTGCAGAACCAGTTGATCCTAAAAAGTGAGTGAATTTAATATTACACAACAAGCCTTTCATTCATCTTTTGTCATTTCTTACACATTTCCTTTTCAACTGCCCATTAGGAGAATATCTGCACAGACAGAGATGATTTCCCACTGTTGAAGTGATTTTTATTTGAGGCACTTCTTGTTTGCACATGGGTGAAGCTTATATGATGCTTCAGCTATTTTCACAAAATTTGGTTGTTAAGGGTCCTGCACCATGTTTCGACATGTCTGTGGACTGCTGCATCTAGTAAGGGTGAGGTGTCAGCCAAGAAAAAATCTGGCTTGGTAGGACATTTTTCTTTTGAGCTTAGATTTCATTACACAGAGCTGGTGAAATCTCATCCGAATTAGGATGTGGCACTTGAAGAGAAAAAGAGAGATTCATACAAAAGTAGTGTTACCCTTTTGTAATAATATTGATGTTCAAGTTGAACAGTATCACTACTTGTTTAATTCATATTCCCCTGAAACAACATGCAGGCAACATGCAGTTCAAAGGGTCGCCTAAAGATTTCTGAGAACGAACCGTACGTCTTGTTACCAATGTTTATGCTGCTTGTATAACTCGGCTATTCTTTTCTTGACACTACCAAGTAAAATTAGGCATGCTGAATTGGGCTGTTTCGAAGCCCTTTCAAACTGTGTGTAATGCACTTTGCTAGTCTGAAGATGTGAGGCAGTACTCCGAAGGCGTTGTTGTGTATGCTGGTTCTGCAAATGTGGCATGCCACAGTTCGGGAAGTTGTGTGCTTTTTTAACACAATGCTGGAAGGCTCTTTATTAGGCATGTGTCAGTGGTTATTCTTGAGAGCGATAGTATTGTGAATCATGTAGTGCCAGAAGTGTCTTAAATCATATATTCACGGAAGAACACCATATCATGTAGTGACCGCAAATAACAGATAGATATGCTTCCACATGTAAACAAGGATTCAAATTATAAACAAAGAAAAAAACAATAAAATATTACTGGAAGCTCATTGACCATTAGCCAATTGATACTGCAAAACCTATTTGTGATAATCTGTGATTTGAATACAACCCTGAAATTATTTCCTTGGGTTGTTTGAACAACTTAAATTGTAGGTAAAGGAATGTAGAAGTAATCCAGCTATGGCCCGAGTGTAAAAGCTGTCTGAAAGGGAATGTATTCGGTTTGTACAAATCTATAAAGGGCTGTTGAATGATTATGTTTTTATCAAAGCTTCTCTGGATCCAGGATTTCTCTCTGCTGAGTTGATGAAAGAAAGGGAATATTAAGCGCTTACTTTTCTTCGTTTTACACAACCTTAATAAACATAATTAACCGACAATGAAGCCAAGAAAAGCATAGGGCATGTTATTTGTAGCAATTTTTACATAAAAGTGAGGACATCAAAGTGAATCATGAAAAAACAACTCGGTGCCAGCAAGACCTAAATTTGCACCCTTTGAATAATGCGTACTTTTCAGTGATGATCACAGTGAATTGAAAGATATGGTTTAGTAATTAAACCAAGAAAGTATTAATGTAGGCCTTAAAAGTAAATGTGATGAAGAAAAATATAGTGCCAAATAGTCTGGTAAAAGAGAGAAAGTTCATGATTAGAAAAACCATTCATGGCTGTGTGTACAAGAGCATGTATGCTGCCATAATATTAAAACCATGCAACAATCGTGACGTGTATACCATGGACAACTGACCACTAACACAAGAGCCTCATAACGAAAAGAAATTCACAGAATGATAAGAATGTGCTGAGACTGCATTTGGAAGGCACCGCCAAATAATGTCAGGAAATCTGTTATTATCATTAAAGCAAAAAGTTTTGTGACTGCATATTGCTAGTTTTAACAAAATATTGGGCATATCTGTGCATTTAAATCTGGAAGTGTTAGTCAGCACTGCTTGTAGCCATGATGGCAAGTGTGAAACACTTTTTTTATTGTCTGCTGGCATCACGTAGCCTGTGATCCTTTTACGGGCTGGCAGCTGGCCAATAACACTTCATATAGTACCACCTAAAGGCATCAAGTCTGCCAAAACGAGACTCGCTCGTAGTGAGGGTCTTTCTCATAGTGAAGGTGTATTAGGGTCTATTTGATTCGTATTTCAAATTTCAAGTGTTCACTCACCCATACACTTTGCTTCTTTTATGATATGCTTGATCTTTCTCGAAAGTTTCTCACACATTTCGCACTTATGTTTTCAAAACAGATTGGCCACATGTTGACGTAACTCGCATGAATTGCAGTTTTAGCGATGTCAATATCTGTTGTGTCATTGCAACATGTGCCTTCATACTACTGGAGTAACTCACCAAGAGTAACGCATTTCTATACATTCTTTGCAGCCCTGTTGATGTACCAGAAAAGCTGCTAGATACAATCCATGGTATTAAAATGGGTGTGGTGAATCCCCAGTGTGATAATGCCAAGGTTTGTGTAAAACGGGCATTGCTTGCCCTATTACCATTTAGTTGTTATTGTTTTTACTTTTGTGTAGTAATGCAGATGAGAGTAAATTCTTCGGTGATGTCCATAACACTGATAGTTACAGCACTATGAGTGAAAATTTGCCATTGCCGTAACGTCTTAGTGCTGATCAGTGCTTATTGCTGAAGAAGGTGCACATTAATTGGAGGATGTAAAATGCATGCACTTGCTCGTTGTGGCTAGCTGAGTGCAGCAAGGCTTTCATTTTCTTGTGTTACAAAAGTCTTACACCTGCCGAATTTTCGCCTTTTCATAGCACTTATGCCAGGGAAAGGTGCAAAAGTAGACTGATGGTTACATTGTTTTATGCTACTAGGATTCATGCATGTCATGTCGCTTAGCAAGGCTTTTGATCGGTATAGTTTGTAGCCCATGATATCTTAAACCAAAGTTTTCTTACAAGGGTTAAAATCAATGTATATCCCTAAACACACACAACTATCATTGAGTGCTGAAAAATTCTTAACTTGTTTTCTTTTTGGCACTACTGCTGCTTTCATCTTGCTGCTGGCGTGTTATTGCTTTAGAGTCTTTTATTTTTCTATGTAGATTGGTGCAGGTGTACGGTTTCATTGTAAATTGTGCCCCAATAATAAAGATTCAGTTGACAATTTGGTGCTTGTGTGTTGTGATAATTTCATCCCTTGTCAAAACTTTTTGCCCTAAGGCTATTGTCTTGTATGTTATATTGAGAAGACTCATACTAATTTGTTCTCTCTAATATTATTGCTCAGGTCAACATTTCTGTTGATTTTCTGGATGATCCAATGGTATATGTGTGCTTCCATCCCAAGGCAATGTACCCACTTGGAACAGTTGCAGTAAGACACTTTGTTTCATATCTACCATAGAGATAACCTAACCATTGTTTGAAGGGTTTCTTTAGATGGTCTCAGTGTGAGCGCACAAAAATGTCTGATACATCTGTCACCTCGCTGCCGCCAGAACATAAGTAGAAGATGATTCAGTTGAGGCACAACTGAATGAAGCAATGGCTATGCTAGAATAGTATCATTAAATTGGAAAGCCTTTGAAATTGTGAAAAATGAACTTTTTGGTCTGTAGCAACCTAAAATGTTTACATAGTGACACACAAACCTGCCGCAGCATTTTATTTGTTGCTAAACGCCTGCATGTGCGAAAGTCCGTGAGGGCGGCTGCAACATGGGGCCTCCCATATCTGGGCAATACAGGCTGGTTTGTTTAGACAGTCAAGTGAAGGGCAAGCCGCAGATACATGCGCGAAATTGAGAACGGAGCATTCCATGGGCCTGGCAAGCAGCCTCATCAAAATAAAACATAACTAGGTCAGCTACATTTTTGAATTTGTCTGCGTTGGAACACATGCTCGAAGTATAACTCATCTGTTTAAAAATTTGAAATTGCCTGATTTTCTATGATTCATTTCAGGAAAACACAATTATTTGGGCTGATGATTACATTGAATTGAATGGTGACTTGCCAGGACATAGAAATTTTTTCATTAGATCATGAACTTGGTAAAATCTGAGTTTGTTAGATCAGGTTTTGACTGTTCATGATAAAGCTTATCTTGTCTCAGTAATGTCATAGGTTACATACAAATAAATAAAAAGTGTGATCAAGCTCGGCAGTGGGCTTTTGTATTATTTCTTCAAAGGGCTGATGCTCGGTCGCTGTGCTGCAGCCATTTACATCAAAAGCACAAAACATTGTGGTGGCTCATAGGGGTGGAAATGAATCTTATTTTTCTCACTAGATTTTAGGCTGCAAAGTAATCTTCAGGGGAATAGTGTGCTGTACGAAAGTACCTATAAAGTACATATCCAGATACCTTCAAACAGGTTGCAGTGGCAAACAAAAGGCAAAAAGTGTTTTTATTCTGAACTGTGTTTCATCCCAGCCTACAGAGCTCTCGTGGAACTGTGTTCCACGAGAGCTCTGTAGCATAAGGCCCTCACTGTGCACCACTATTGTCAGTGTGAATATATGTCTCTTTTTTTCACAATGCAATTTTTAATGTAACATTTTTTTCTGGTACAACATAAAGGAGCTCAGGCGAATGAGAATGGGCTTTTGCACATATGGCAAGTATTTTGTGACCCACGACTTATCACTATCTTGGAAAAAATGCTGTTTTCTCAAGCAGAAGCTTGGAGGTTAAAATAGGACCTTGGGAAAGAAAACTGCTCTGAGTAATATTAAGCAGATCATTAAAGGGATCCTGCAGCACCTTTTCTAGTAGTCGTAAAATGAGATCACTATACGAGTTCATTGGCTTAAAAATTAATTGCTTCAAAAATTTTCAAAATCTATCGCATATGAGCGGGGTTTGCAGGAATTTGTTGCATACTTTAAACATTTTCTCTCTCTTGTTTCTCTTTTCATCTGAACAAGTGTGCTCAAAGCTACAATAAGATCATGACAAAGGGGCAGAAATCTGTCGGCCTGTGGCGTGCCAATGAGGACTTCCTTTCTTTATGTTTCTTTTTCTAGTGCATTGTCTCTTTTTTTTTAGAACTTTTTACGTACGCATTCGATCAGATAAACACTGGAAGAAAAAGAGAGTAAACAGAAAGAGCTCACTTTTGTTGTAATCGTCAGCACAATAGTGTGATTCTGTAAGTTGTCATTCTAGCACACTACAGAGTGTGGGGCGGTTACGTGGGGGCCATGGTAACTATTCTGCACAAATATGTCCAAATCAGCCAATGGCAGGATCCACCCTACGGTTACACAGTCCAGACCACAATGACATAAGTTTTTGAGAGACAAGTGAGTGATTTTTAGTTGTTTTTGAAATGTAATTGGGCGCATTTAGCCAAGGAGCTCGAGCGCACTCTACACGGTGGAGTGTGCGATTGGAAACCTAACAGTTATAAAGCGACTTCTGGTGTGTGATTACGCAGGGTTGTAGCGTGATCTGTGCGCAAAATTTCCTAATTATATTCAGTTTGCAAACTGGCTAGGAGAGGCAGCCAGGTTTTGTCGCCCTTGCAAGAGCTGGTGCTGGTGTAGCATAGAGATCAGGCGAGATGCAGTATGAAGGGTGACGCTTGCCTCAGCCATGTGTTTTTTCTGCATTGTTGAAGTTTGCATGTATTCACGCATGTATTCTGAGGTCTCACGCATCACACAATGTGCAAGCTCTTTGCAGTGATCATGCATACTTATTTCTAGAGATACTGCGAAATGTCAGCCAGGATTCTTTACATGCCCAAGTGCAGTGCACCGAGCTGTTGCACGGTATGCTTTGGCAGTGCTAAGTCCCGTCTTGCAATGTTTCTTCATGGGACATTTTCTTTTGTTTAGAAGCTTTGAAACAAAGTTTTTAGTTGAGCTGCAAAATAATTGTTTGTTTGGGTACTTTTACGACACACTTTGGGGCTGTGTTGTGAGAATTGTCGTTGTGAGAATTGTCGGTTGTCCTGTTCACAATGACACCACTACTGCAAATAATATGGGGAGTCATTACATGTACACGCCACGATCGATATGATTATCAGTGTGCCGCTGTATTACCTCGAGAAATTTAGACCGTCATGGGTTTGTTGTTGAGTGACATCACACAGTACATAGCCTTCTTGTACATCCATTGATCAAACTCATGACCTTCGGGTGAGTAGCCAATCACCGTAGTCCCTGCAGTAAGTCACAAATATGAAACAGTCGTCCTTAGACTGAATGTAAAATTCATGTTCCTGTCCCTTTTTATTTATTTATTTATTATGCTCACAGTATCATAATGAGACATTACTGGAGAAGTAAGCCCAGAAAGGTCGTTTAAGATGATGTCAAAAAGGTATTCTTTTTTTTTTCTGCCGCCCTCCCTCTTTTTTTTTGTAGTATACTGCAGGTTCATCACAGCCCAGCCCGTGCTGCGGTGGTTACATGCATGAATACATGCATTTGCATTTTCGAAAATTCATGGTGATCATTATCATCAGTACACAAAGTGCCAGTTGTATTCCAACACACAATATCGTTAGATAAATTGTTCCAGTGAGAGCTATCGGACGGAAAAATGGAGTATTTGTGAGTGTTACCTAATTGCTCCAGCTGCATGCTTTAGAATGGCATGCCAACTATAAATGCGCCTTGTGCCGAAGAAAAAAAAAAAACTGTATTCATGGCACAGAGCGATTTAACCTTAATAATTTTATTGAGTTAACTGAAATCAATGGCCAAGCATTACATAATGAGAGCAAACCAGAATTTCAAACCCCAATGTTCATTGCTGGTTTAATCAACATGGTCCACCAAAGTCTTTCTCAATTACTAGTTATGTCGGCACAGAAATAGTAACTGGTACTTTCCACCTCTGTGCTCCATTTTAAATTCTTATTGGACCACAATTGAGCAGTGGGGCTTTCCCAATTTTTGTGCAGTATAAGTGCCTGAGGGTTTTGTGCACGTGAAATGGACGAATTTAGTTTTTGCATATCCTTATATACAGCTAAAGTAAGGTCGATGCTAGGCACATGCTATAGGTACACATAATTTGTAGGCGTATGGCAGAAAAAAATGCACAGGAAGGATAATTTTTCTTTTGGTTAGTGATTGAGAGCAAGTTAAAAAAGTTATGCACATTCACGGTAGGAGTTGAGTAAGGCAAGCATCTGGAGGGAATAAGTACATGTTTTGTATCCACATAATTGTTCAGAAAGCACGAATACATATTGCATAGTTAATAAACTTTTGTTCCCAAAGTAAAGTAGCTGCCCTCACTACATGAGCTCACACCATTCATGGTTCTAATAAGCCAACAGAAATTAAAGTTATCGTACATTTGTGCCAGTTTCATCCTCACTGCGATGCAGTTTGAAATATTTATAAAGCATTATTGTTTACAGATGACGTCTATTCGATGCAATGATACAATCGAATAACGCTCTGTGACACTTTTATATCGAAATTTTTGAATACTCGCAAACACACCCTGTAAAGACGTCTCTGAAAGTAATGCACTCACTGAAAATTACAAGACATTTTTTTTCTTCTGGATTTTTTGCTGGTGTTTGATTTGGTAGGGTTTTTGGCAACCCTGGCATTACATGTTGAGGTGATTACATGTTACATTATATTACATTACATGTTAATATGATTGAGCATTACGGTATCTTGAGATGATTTGCGCATATACGGGCAAAAAATGAATGCCCATATAATGCAAAACAAAATTAAGGTACGCACACTGTGCAGTGTTCGACTTGTCTTTTATTATCTTTTCACGCACTGTCTTACGTGCTACTTGTATCTTCTTATAACGCTGAGATATAGCTAAAACATGCATTTCTCTCAAGCTAAGTCACATGAGAGCAACTACCATATCGAGCTAACTGTTGCAGTAGTCGAGTGTGGGCCCTTTGGAAGCAGTAGCGCAGTAACAGACAACCCGCCGAGACCAATTTTATTGCGACCGTAGCGCTCCCACTTGGTTTAACGATCGCGGAAAGTCGCTCTGCATCGCTCGAAGGCTGTGTTCTTTGCCAACTGAGTTTATCGAATAATGTTGACATGCTCCAACCCTGAGACGGTGCAAATTGATAGATGGGGGCCAGCAGGTGAAGCCAATATTGTAAATGGCAGAAATAGAGATATGCAGCCAGGCAGGCTGTATAGATTAAATAACTGGCAACAGAATGGGTGCGAAGAGAATAGAAGCGCACTCGAGGGCAGGGGAGTATTAGGCGGTGTGGAGAAATCGAGAGATGTACAAGTCATTGTACAGTGTGAGAATGGTGTAATTAGGTGTTATAGTGGCATGTTGCGGCCTGTAACAAGCTAATGATCATGATGAGCATGGCTCAGCATTAAGCTGCACTGTTTACATTAGGAAAGATGCACAAATGTCAACTTTATTATTGCATAACTATTGAAGGTTCCTTGTAGATAGAGGAGGATTCATTGTAGATGGAGATGCCTCTCCGTGTTGAATGCTTCTCTGTTCATCAGGTTCTTGAATTTACATCACCCATTCATGCATCTAAATGTAAACTAAAAAATCAGATGCATAGTCTTTCACAGATTCATGTTTGTATCGTGGTATTTCAGTATCATTTAGAGCTCATGATGAGCATGTTGAGGCATTCTATATTGGTTTTCCGAGACTTCCTGTTGACAACTTACAAGACCTCCCAGTGCAAAGCTATGCTTTTGCATGCATAACTAATGATTGTGGTCAACACCAGTATACTAGTTGTGTTCAGAAGACTTTTCTAGCAATCTCATTTTATCGATTTTACGTGCCAGCTGAGCCCATCTCATGTGTGCAAGTGTGCTAAAAAAATCAGGCCACCTAGTTCTCTGCTGTCCTTCGGTGTGCTCTTCTGAGTGGCCATTGTGCCATCTTCTTACTTCCTAAAACTAGGCTTGTGAGAATATGCGAATGCTTTGAATATTCGAACGAATAGTTGAGTATTTGAATTCGCTTTGATTCGAATTTAAATTATCGTATATTTTCGAAGTATTCGCAATGAATGAATAGGTGTATATTATAATCCACATGTTACCACCTGTAAAGGTGGTTTCGCTGCAATGTAAGGGTGCTAAACAGTGAAAGCACCTATCAAAAAAATTTGCTTTGCCGTGAAGTCTTTCTTTAAATTTAAAAGGGCCTTGCAAGACTTGCTGAACATGGTCAGAAAACACTGCCGATCCGTAGTCGAGGCTACCGAAAATACGCGAGGCAAATATTGTAGCGCAACATCTGGCCTGTAATTCACAATAAATTTTCGAAGCTAAAATTGCTTTCTTTCCTCAGCAAATGACACTACAAGCTCAATAATCACTTGTCACAGCCAAGAAGAAATATACGGCTCGGGTCACAGGCATTGACTGATTTGAGCATGGTGTGCTCGTTGTTACCGGGGCCGTCGCTTGTCCAAGAGTACGTGCGCGATCCCACTGAAAAGCCGTATATTCGAAGAAAAAAAAAAAGACGTGCTCAAGGTCACGATGTGCGTATGGAGTATTTTCTTTCCATTCCTCCCTGCTTAGCCTCCAGCTATTTCGTCAAGAAGAGAAGAAAGCATGCAATTGCAGAGTGTGACAAATTTTTGGAACTCCGCTCGTACTGGTCTTATTATAGAAACAGTAAATATGTGAGGCAACAAGCATGTTTACTGGCTCCATGGCTACTTGAAAAAGTGTTGCAGGGCTGCTTTAAAGGAACATGTTACCCTCAAATCAATTCTCCATATTATTAAGCTTTTTATGATGGCTTATATGATCCAAGCATAATAAATTTTAAAAAATTAAGTATTTTAAGGTTATCACTCGCATCCTACTGAAACTACTACTGAAGGTTGTTTCAAATTACTTTGAACAAAAAAATAAATGGCATTTGCATAGAGCCCCTACTTCAATTCAAAAGAAATATTGTGCAGGTTAGTTAGGTCATGATCAATATTTACTTTTTTTATGTCATACATACAATTTGAATTCAATTAGAAATTATTTGATCAAAATTATTATTCGCTTCACACTTGCTTCGAACCAAAAATTCAGTATTCACACAAGCCTACCTAAAGGATCTGCAGACATTGTATATGGAACAGGTACATGCTTACACCTCGCTATGCATCTGTCCAGGTACTCCAGATGTTGCAAATAATTGTGTCTGAACATTCTATTGCCTTTTAAAGGTTGCTTGTGTAGTTTTTCTGGTAACGTGCATGTCGCCTTTCTTGCAGCACGGACACTCTAAGCAAAGTTGTGACACAGTATCTGCTGATTATCGAGTAAGTAACTGAGTTTACTTGTTTAAATTGAAAAACAAGCATCAACACCATCATGTGCTGTGTCAAGAAACAGAAGTGTTCATACACAGTTGCTTATCTTTCATAATTTTTTCTAGCTTTTTTGCATGACTTTAAAGAGAAGCTGAAGCACTTTTTAAAAAAAGGGACTTAGGAGCGTGTAAGGTCCCTGCTGAGTCCAAAAAGCGATGCGAGAGTTTTCAAAAGCGAAAGCGAGAGACACTTTTTGGTGAAAAAACAGAGAGGCCAAGTGAATGCAGTGACGTCATTCTTGGTATGCCGCATCATCTGCAACAGCAGCACTGCTGAAGCACGGCCTCCTCAATTATGTAGTTCCGGCTCCAAGAAGTCATGGGTTAGTCACAGAGGCCATGGTTGAAAACGAAAAAGAATGTTTGCTCACGTAGCACTCGGAGCATGAAATGAATTTCGTGATCTGCTTACGAAGTCAATTGAACGGAGAGTGAAAGTGCGTCTACTAGGTTTCGCCGTCGTTTTGCCGCCAAGCTGACCGCGTCTCATCAGAATGAAATCGTTAAATACGAAATCTATGCATGCAGTCCCCTGCACTACAATACATAAACTGTCTCAAGACGTTACATCTGTACATTGCTGAGTGTAAGCGACGCTCAGCTAAACCAGAGGCTAAACACGACTAGTGAGCGACAAGCCTTGCGTCAGAGCGACGAATAGCTCCAGGCCAGAGGAAATGGAGATGATGTACGTTTCCACGTCCACACTTTCAGCCCGTTCGCAGGGTCAGAGCAAGACAAGCTTTCATTTCACGTGTTCTAACGCTCCTGCTGCTACAACAGCAAAAATAATTATCACACCGTCGACAATAATGTCAGTCCTTTCTGAACACGAAGTTTGATTGAATTCTAAAACCTCTTCAGTTTCTATTTATTTGTTCCACCACTTTTCACCCTGTTCTGCCTGTTGTGACTGACAGGAAGGCTGCACTTCAAAGAAATGGAACATCATGTGCAGAACGTTTGGAACTGCACATATATGGCGTTTCTCTAAACTGCAAGTGATAAAGGATTTTAATGTGCGAGATTGCCTTGTTTACTAAATGTAAAGCCTTATAGTTATTAAAAGTGCTGCAGCTAAATGAATACTGGAAGAATATTCTATTCTCAACACTCAGTGCTATTTTTACTCTAGTGTTGTACAGTGTATCAGTCGTGGCTGTTGGCTTCTTCATCAAGAATGGAAATGCAAAAACCAAAACTGCTGACCTTTAAAGAAATCGCTTGCAACGAGAACTGCAGCTGCCATGTGGATGCATATTAATTCAGGGAGAACAGCCTCCAGGTCAGTATTTGCTTTGTTCTTCAATGCAAATATATCCTTCGTTGCAGCCCAGGCACTACTGCATGAACTACCAGATAAAGTACGACTCATATCTACCAACACAGTAAGCAATTTATTTAGAAATTTTTCTGCGTAAATTTTTTATGCTGGACCTCTTCACATTGCATCAACTCAAACATTTCAGTGAAGGACACCGACCTCTCTGGCCTGTATTCGGGGAGTATAGATACGTTCCACCTCAGCGCTGGCTTCACAACATTGAGGTTGGTCGTTGCTTCTGATTACTGTATATTTGTATACAGTACGAGGTGCAGTGGACATTTTGGCATTGTCACTCTGTCTGTTTTTGTGTTAACTTAGTCCTCACCAACTTCCAGTCTTCCAGTCTGCCAAAGAAAAAATGTTCATGAGAAAAAAAGGTCCTTATAATGCAGCACTGGCATATGTGCGAGAACCTACATGTTTCCCAGCACAGATAAGGCAGTGTGGAACATTGTAGATAGAAGACAAAAGAAGGTGTAAAGGCCGGTGCACTCTGTCGGCTAGCAGCGGTTGCAGGACCATTTGCGACTGGCGACCGAAAAGCGACTGATGTTTACACCGGCAGAGGCTGCATGCGAGCGACTGGAAGTCGCGAAACCGGGGAGTCACGTCCGGATCTAGTTATCAGCGACTATGGAGACCGGCACAGATCAGCTGATCGCCTCCAGCTGAGTGAGCGGAGCAAACAGAGTGTGCCGCATTTATTGTTTTCGTCCGTTCTTGAACAGCATTCCCAACAGCGCCAAAAAGTTCGATTCAAGCGAAGAAAAAAAGATTGTCACGGTGCTCGTGCGCTATGGCATGGTGTCAGCGCTAGCAGCACAGATGCCTCCAAAGAAAAAAAAAGCTGGTGGTGGGTGTGACCGTCCCTTCGCTCGCGAAAGTTGGCCGGCCATGCAAGCCGCCTACCTCCCGAGCTGCGCTGAGACGACGAGGAGTATTTCCGAGAGTCGTACATATTCAGAAACGATCCTTAAATTTAACTTGACTTGCCACAGCCTCCAATGAAGCACAATTGCATCTCGAACACAGTGTCTTAAGTCATTACCAAGGCATGAAGCACAAACACATTCCAAACGCGCTGCATTGAAGGTGGTGACAAGTCAAGTTCAAGACAACAAACGATTCTGAATATGGGGGAAAGATAGTGCACAATTTATTTTCTCTTTATTTTGACGGTGTTTAGCTTCTTGCCTCTTAAATTTGACCCTTTGCTCGAGCTGCTGCGTTTTGCCATGTCCAAGCAAGTATTCCGTGGTGGCCGTGGTGCCACAGACCCAGAGCAACTCACTCATTTGTATCTGGTGGCAGGAGGCCAACGCAACGAAAAAAGAAAAAACAAAAAATAAGCATGCATATAAAGAAATGCTGGTGTAACTTCTCAGCATTGCTGATTGGTTCCAGCAGCTTTGTGACTGCAGTCGCGCGACTGAAAAATTGGTCAAAAAGCGACTAGCCGAAGCAGTCGCTTTGCGACCAGTTGCAAATGGTCGCGCGACTGCTGCTAGTCGCTGGTGTGCACCAGACCTAAGTGTGACAGTTTTCAGCTTATTTTCCTGGAATCTGGGTAGTTTCCTTGGTAAAAGTCACAAACATAGTGCGATAATATCTAGAAAAGCAAAAAATGTAAGGCAGTTGCAATGTGGGTACAAGAGTGAATTTACATTGAAGAAAGAATACCAGCAGTTGCAACAAAACCACCTGATAAAGTGGTAGCACCGGCAGTTGTTCAGACAAGGGCTGTTCAAATGAAAAGGTATGTAGTGATGCTGTGAGGATAAATAAATGTTTTATTCAAAGTGTGCACTCCTAAGAATGATACCAGTAATGAATTGAATAAGCGGAAGGATTCCTTGTTCCCATAGTTCCTGTGGCCATAATGAGACCCAATCTTTGACAGCGTCTTTGAGCTCGTTGTCAGAGTTGAAGTGCTTCTCTTTCAGATATTTTTTCAAAGGACCAAACACATTGAAATCACAGGCGATGAATAGTGGCTGGTTTAACACCATCCGCTGTCAGAAATTGAATATTGCATTACTGCCTCTAAGTCATCCAATTTCGTGGTGTGATTGATATCCTGTCCTCACATGCACCATGCCTATTGGACGGTGCTCTTTACATGAGCCTCTACTCTTTCCTGCATATGCAGGAGCCTCCACATGCTTCAATCCATAGTGAAAACTCTAATTGTATCCCTACATGTCTTGCTAAATTCTCCCATAGTGGCATAGGCATCTACATTAACGGTTATGTTGTTACCTTACGTATCCTTTCCTCTGAACACCTATTGTGCATTCATTGTGCCTAAACAGCCCCAGATTACATGAGGCAGTGTTTCTCAGTAACACTTTTAAGTAGTGACTTGCTATGGCTGTTTAAAACTGTGCGGGGTTATTAGCATTATGACAGGTGTAGGATTGTTCCAGTTATTGTGGCGTCGTTTATAAGAAAAAAAAGCTTTCGGGTACACTCAAGATTTACATGTATAACACTCTGCGTTGGTTTGATGAATGAATTGCCTGGTGGCATGGAATATAACGTATTTTATGAAGATGTGCAGATGAAGCAATGTTCAATCGAGATTATGCAGTTAGAGTAATTAGGGATGCAGTTATGGATGCATTCTAGAATATTTGTTGAGTTGATGTGTTGATGATCAAAACTGGCACTGTTTAGTAAGCTGTTAGTAATATGAAGGCACATGCCAAGGCTATATTGCAAAGAAGATAGCCCAGGGCTCATTCTGCAGTGTAGTGTAGGTGAATATAAGTTGATAAATTACAGAAAATGTGAATGTTTAGGTACCTAATTGTGTTTGTGTTGGCTATAGGACAAATATACAGTGTATTTCAGCTTGGGAACAGTTAAAAAAATTTGACATGTGCATTGTGACAACACAACCAACTTAGTGTACTGTTTACTGTTCCGTTGACTTACTTAGAGGATCTTTTTAAAATTTGGTAAGGTAATTAAGAATAATTTTCTAGCCAGCCTTGCTTTAGTTATGCTCAATATCTTCTGTGGAAGAGTTTGCAGAACTCATTAATCAGTGTGAAAATAGCTGTTTTTCAGGAAAATAGCTGCTGTGGTATTACTACATTCTTAATAAAATGTGGGATACTTCAAAAGAGTATCACATGACTTGGCACTTGCACACAGCAGCATTCATGCTCTAAAACATGTTTTGAATGAATGTTGCATGCAAATCAAATTAGGGATGGTCAGGTTTTGAACAACAGTGGTAGAATGAATGCAAAAATCTTGACTTTTTCCCAAACATTGCTTGTCTGCTGAAGCAATAAATAGAGTTGGCCAATGTAGTAAATAATGCAGTCCTATTTTTGAAGTTGTGTTGGCATATTCACCGATTCTAATGCTGTGGGAATCTGAGAACATGCCTCTGGTGTGTTGTCAAGTTTAGCACTGAAATGATAAATGGCTTTATACTTGCGCTACATATTTGTTAGAACTTTTGTTTCTATTCTCTATTTTCAGCATGGTGCTATTGTCATGCTGTACCATCCATGCACTCATCCCTATTATGTGGACGCACTTCGCAGCATAGTTACAGGCTGCCTTCGCAAGCATATTATCACCCCTTACGTTCACCTCAGCCCTGACAGGGTACGTGGACTCATGTTTTCAAATTCATTAACACCATTGAAACTTAGTAGGCTCAGATTTAAGAGGCTGTCTACAAACTGGCACTTCTCAGGGGTTTGGAGAAGTCTGAAAATACCTAAGGAATACCTAGAGGAAAGAAGTGTATATTACAGGGCTCGTTTTCTTTGTTAGGCACAATATTGGGGACTTTTAGCTTAATGTATTTTGCCTCTCGGTCTGCTCAGCCAGTTGGTGGTTGCGCCACTGTGCATGCACTATATGGTCAGGCACTGAGCATGTGTGCGAACCGTCGCAGCGAGTGAAAGATCACGTGACGTGAGGATAAACGGCCATATGGCAGCCTCTTGTGCCGCGAGTCCGCGCTGCTCGGGAAACACAGTGGTTGGCTGTAGGACAAATATACAGTGTGCAAACACGCAAGCACTGACGGCACTTCAAGACACACAAAGATCTGTGCCTCCTCCAAGAAGTCGTCGTAGCCAATCTCTTTGAGAATCCATGCATGTGGGGTGAAAGAGAGGGAGAGAAACGAAAAAAAAGGAAGGCAGGGAGGTTAACCAGATGCTAGTATCCGGTATGCTACCCTACACAGGGGTTGGGGAATAGGGGGTTGAAATAGTGGGGTGAAGTTTCACAAAACGATGTAGAGCTGACACTTGGGACCATAAAGGAGCGTCTCGAGATGCTTCTTTGGTATTTCCGTGAAAGGGACTTCGCGAATCTTCAATAGTAAGCGATTTTATGTAACAATAGTAACAATTTACTTCGTTTACAATTTACTTAATTCGTTTAACAGCAGCCACTCTTCCCACTTTTCTACCTATGCAGAAAAGCTTTTTAGTTTGATTTGCCACAAGGCAACGTGGTGAACGCGCTGCCTCAGGGCAGGGTGTTTGAAACGCGTTTGGGTTACCTTGAAGGCTTCGATTGTAGTCCAGCTCCAGGTGACAAAAAATTTTAAAAAACCTGCTCATGCATCAAACACTAAATGAATTTACCCTCTTTTAAAGCAGAGTTGTCTATCTTGCTGCAAGATAAGAACTATGTTTATTTTATTTTAAAACAAGTTTCATGCACCCGTGGTGTCGCGATTGCGTTGACCAAACGACGGTTGGCTAAAACTGAAAATTGCGTTGCGGCCCGGTAACATTGAGCGTTTGAGTGGAATGGGGAACGGAGCGCAAAAGCGGTCAGCTAAAAGTCCCTTTTGATGGGATCTCGCAGACACTCAGGTCAAGGAAAGTATAGGGGATGTTATATGAGGTAATATAAATCTGAAAAAAGAAAAGTGCATGAAAAGATAACTTGCCGTGGGCAGGGACCGAACCTGCGACCTTCGATCCCCGCCGCAGTGGTCTAGTGGCTAAGGTACTCACTCGGCTGCTAACCTACAGGTGGGAGATTGAATCCCGGCTGCGGCGGCTGCATTTTTGATGGAGGCAGAAATAATGTAGGCCCGTGCGCTCACATTTGGGTGCACGTTAAAAAACCTTAGATGGTCGAAATTTCCTAAGCCTCCACTACGGCGTCGCTCGTAATCACATGGTGATTTCGGGACATTAAAGTCCACATATAAATCATGACCTTCGAATAACGTGTCCGATGCTCTAGAGAATAATGATCATAGGCATATTAAAAGCTTTTCTACTTCCTGAAGTTTACGGTGGTTTATGGCGTAGTGGGTACCTTGCATGTGTGCCCCAAGATAGTCTACAACGTGATCTTGTAAGGACGCTGTTCCAGCTTTTTCTGTGACCGTGCTGTGTGTTCTGCTCGTGCCTGGCAATTTTTTTCAAAGCAGTTTCAGACACTGGCTTGACTAGCATAAAAAAATTATTGGGTTCGGTTTGGGCTCTGACTCTTTATTTTTTTTGCTCTATCAAGAGTTTTGTTCATGTACAAAGCCACCGATGCTGACGCCGACAGCACATTTTCAGTGAGGCGTGCTCTTGGACCCTTTGTGGTTTGAAACTTTTTCCTTCCTTCCATCTATTGTGGTCAGAAACGTCGGAAACTAAAAGGCTTAAAGCTTAAGTGAAAGAAGTTTGTTCGCTCTTTTATAGATGGCGCATAATGTAGTGAGGAAACGTGTGCATGAATCAGCCACTAAAGAACTTGTCCATCTGTGCCCGACCACAAACTGGTGTGGCCATGTTGCGTCATCGGGCAGGTGCTGACAACGAACCCCAAATGATTAACACTGTTGCATTAATAAGTGCTAGTAAAAAGCATGGGCGACCTCGGAGTATGTGCAGCTACGTGCTCTTGTGTTGCAAGTCATATTAAGGGCGGCAGTACATTTTCTTATGGAGTCTATGCCGAGTGAAGTAGCTCAGATGATTTTTTGCATATTTCCAGCCTTTGGCTTTAGTTGCTTGGGGATGCCGCTATGAAATGAGCACTGTGGACCAGGAGGAAGTTGTGGCTTTCATCAAAGTAAGTTTGACTTTGCATCACTGTAATACTGTTCTCCAATTGTTTTTTGCTGTTAACTCTCAACATGGGCATGCTCAGTGTGGAATCCCATTCAGAGGGGGTGATGGTTCATCGCAGTGTCGCTCCTCCAACACACTAAGTCAATGTATGGGGCAGATTTTGCCCCCCCCCCCCTCATCTACACGCCTACGGCTCTAAATAGGACCGAACTATGCTTGTGCAGCTCAGTGATATTTTAACACGTATGTGTTTTATGCCGGGGTCCACCAAGATTTGAGTGACGTATTTCCGTCACGGAAGTGACGTCGGATAAAAACTCATGATTGCAAGACAAAAAGTTCCGTCAATGAAACTGGAAACCATGACTCCAGGGTCCGCGACAATAGATACACAGCACCACGGTCACGTCACACACTTTGTATGCTTTAAAAAATACTCCTTTTATGTCTAGTACTGTCCTCTGACAGCGTTCTTGGCAGAGCACAGTGATGCATTATGACCAGGGTATCCGCTATTACTTCCTTCGATGCATTGTTTTTAAGTGTTTGTCCCGTTTGGCGCGTTTCGTAGAAGTCGTGCAAATTTGTCAACACTTCAACACATCCCCAGGTGGCGACCTTATCTCAAGTGTCGACGTCACTCATAGCATCCATTAATACCAAACAGTTATGCAGCACCCGCCGGATTCATCTGAAATGCAGCATGTCACATTTCGTGCCGGTTGCCACTGGGCCGCACCGACGGGTGCCGGTCACGCCTGGTGTCACACTATAAAGCGCTCGCGTTTTGCTAGCGTGGCGTCGTTGCGCCCAACCTGCGCATGCGTCAACGTTGCGTCGGAGTACATTGGGCCGTTCATGACGGGCTCGCCGCCGTAGTGCTAGCTCCACATGCACCAAATTTGGTATCACGGGAAGTGAATAAACGATGGAGGTAAATGACACGTCCAGACCTGATCATCATGATATGAATTTCATGTAAAACATGGCTACATGCTACGCTCATTGCATGCTCGCAGCCTTTTCACTAGCTCCATATATTGATTGATTGATTTGTGGGGTTTAACGTCCTAAAACCACCATATGATTATGAGACGCCGTAGTGGAGGGCTCCGGAAATTTAGACCACCTGGGGTTCTTTAACGTGCACCCAAATCTGAGCACACGGGCCTCGACATTTCCGCCTCCATCGGAAATGCAGCCGCCGCAGCCGGGATTTGAACCCGCGACCTGCGGGTCAGCACTAGCTCTATATATACTAAAGTTGGTATCAGGTGATGTTAATAGATGATGAAGGTAAATTATATGTCCAAACATGATAATCATGACATGGAAGTCATGTACGGCATAATTTATCTCTGCCTCTTAACCTTGTGCTGATTTTAATGTGACCTATCACCCTTCCTCATTCGTGCTTCACATATCATTGATTCCCTCTGAACGTGGAATCTACCAATATTTATTACATCTTTTGATGCACAGAAGGTTCTTTAGTGCAGCTAGTTCAATTATTAGTGAATTATTGTAGGCGGTACCTCTGACGTAGTGCAGATCATTTTGCTTATGTCCTATCGTAGCGGATGTGTTCTTGCGCATTTGCCTTGATTTCTCGTTAAGTAGGGCACTGTTGCTGGTAATAGTGTCATTTTAGATATTGTTATATATTAAGATTTCACTATAAATTAATACTTGACTTTAGTGTATCTGTAAGCGTGCGCATCCTTCTTATGCGTTGCAAAGCGTCAGTGTTAAATACCGATTTCTCACGTTGATTCATGTGCGCTCTTTCAACGTTGTCTTCGCTTTCGTTGCCGTTTCCCTATCATGACAAATGTTATAAATCTTATTGGTCATCAGCTTAGCTCACTTACATGCTTTGTCATCGCACTGTGCGCAGTGTTCGTGCATTAGCGAAGCACGCACGAGCAATCATCTTGGACTTCACCCCATAGGTCACTTGCGTTGCATTTTTCACTGTGGTAGCATTCCTTTCGTGCTGCTCCCAGAGCTCATTTTGAACTTTCGACTGCCAACCTAAATGCTAGAAAACAGCGGTGGAACAAGCGCGCAGGTCAAGCTGTCCAACGAAAACAAAGACAAAGGAGCGAAGCCGGACTAGCCTGACGCAAAAAACAAGTACCAGGTGATGGTGATGACGATAGGGCTATCCCACTATCGAACAGGGCAGGCATATAGAGAAATACATGGGTGCTCTGATGGTGATGACAGTGGCACTTATGAAGCTGGGCATGGTTTCTACAGCTGCGAGTAACTTATTAAAATTGCTATTCATTATTTTAAAGTGTTGGGGGATAAAGGGGTGATAAAATTTGGTACGTTATTCTGACACATTTGGTATTCTTAAATTCATAGTAGTGAAATATTTTCACATTAACCCAATAAACATTTGGAGGGCGTTTTTCGAAAAATTTGTTAATATTAAAAAATTATTATAATGAGTTTTGCTATAATGAGATTTGACTGTATAACATCAATATCAGTGCTTCACTGAGAAAAGAAATTTTAAATGCTGTACAAAAGCAGAGCAGTTCATTAGTTCATTAAACAGCAGCACGCAGTGAAGTTATATTTCACACCATGATGCAGTTAAAATACAACGCATTTCCACAATGATGTTTTGTAAAGCTTGCAGAAGACTTGTTATTCAACAGCATTAAAACCACTCGACTTGCTCTGTCCATTTTCTTCTGTTTGAATTATAGAGCACTTTGGGGAAGCATTAGAACACCGTTCGATATTGTCTTGAAGCATTTTTGCCGTTAGCTTATTCTCAAACAAGCATTGGCATGCAGTTATCTTGGCAGAAAGCTGCCTCAGTGGCAATGTGCTCTAGTTTATTGATTGGAGAGCAAACTATTGCTCCTTCAGCTCTCACTGCGTTGCCATTTTCACTCTTTGATCTTAGTAAAAAAAACTGAGAAGCGATTTTGTGGATTCACAAGTTTGGCTGAGCACTAACAGAAGGGCAGGATGTTGGGTGTGGCAGCAAGGCAGCTGAGTCGATGCCAACACTCTTAGCCAAACTATTTGCATTGTTTTTGAGATAGGGTGGTGTGCTTGTGCTTAAGTTGAGTAGTGTTAACCCACCAAACATTTGTAGAAATCAGCTTGGCAAAGACACAGCCCCTCATGATCGATTTTTTATTTTTTAAGTATGCTGCAGTCTGAGGACAAAGCAGACGGGCATAGAACAAGACATATTGCAATATACTAATGTGTATGCAAAAAATTCGTGATGAATGGGACGAATAAAAAACAAAAAAGTAACTATATCGATGATCATAAATTGCAGTGTTTCTTGGGAGAAAAAAACCACCAAACAAGTGAAGAACACATAACATGTTTTAAACACTCACATATCATCAACTTCTGAGATATGTCACAGCAAGGCATTCCATTGTTCAATAGGGTGAACAAGAATGAATGCTGAAAAGTGCAGTGCATGCAAAACTAGGTGCTAATTAAGAACCATTGCTGTGCTGAGTTGTTTACTACACACGGACAATAGCTCATAGCTCAAGTATGTTCTGTTTAGTGCACAGCGAAAATAGAAACCTTTCAACTTAACTTGACAATTCCACTGAACTAATGTTGTAAAGGGACACTAAAACTAAACATTCTGTACAGTAGCCAGGAGAGCAGCTTTTTGAAATGCATTATCTTGAGCAAAGGAGAATAGATTGAGTCAGGAAAACTGATGAAAGGAACTTGAATGTTTTTTGTTGCTTCATGTGCTTTTGTGAGAGTGGTTCTTTAAAAGGTGTCATCTGCTTATGTTGGAATGCAGCTGTACTGACAGACCAGTACTTAGTTAACTAGCTATAAGACTCAAGTTCTGCACCTTCACACAGCATCATGTTACTATGCTTTACCATTTGTGCTCTTCACCTAAACTGAGCAAAGATTAAATGTTTGTTGAGTATGGAGAAGGGGACTTGAGCTGGGCAGCCAAATGCTACTCAGCTGTTGTAACAAGTGCACAGCTTACAAACATGGCCTCTATCACCGGGAGCTCACAGTCGAACTGTATGGGCCATCAGCAGTTAAAGGGGCCGTCGACTTTTTTGTTTTGTGTCCTAATAAAAGGCATATCATCTGAAGTGTCTAACTTTGCAGTGCTTTCTCTGGAAAGTGTGTACAAATTTTCAAAACTGAAATTTTTTATCTGCATTTAGTTTCCTTCGATCGGTGGAGGCGATGACAATTGTACTGCTAGTGAAAGTCAAAAACTGAAACAGTGTGTGGTTTTTGCTGGCTCCTTCAAGTTTTGTTTATTAGTAGAACAAATACCTTAGTGGTCGTTTAAGGCAGGCACACACTTTTTGTTGTTCTGTCGTGCACGCGTTTCTCCGCCGTTTGCAGGCAGGCATGCTAAAAAGTGAACACACCGCCAACAGCGCCATTGGGTGCGTATTTGAACACGTGAGAAATTAAAGCAAAAATCAGTTTCTAGTGCAACCTCAAGCTGCATAAAGTGTGTAAAAATGCATTTCAAGTTGTACATGTATGTCTTTAAGCAAAATAAATCTATCTGCAGTGATTTCTTGTCCTACCAGTTGAATGACCACATTGACAATGCTGGGTGACGCTTGTGGTAATTTTTTGTTGACTTTCAGCACCAAGTTAAAATTATAATTCGTTTTTTTTTATGGAACAAGAGCATGCTCGTTCCTGCCCACGAGATGAATGATTGTCTCATTTGCACCACAATCAGAAAACATTTTCCGAGCGGTAGACAGTCCTTTTAAGGTCTTCCTTTTAAAGAGTTGGTAAACTTGTGTGTTTTCTTTCTCAGGAAAAAGCTATGAAAGGGCCTGAGGGATTCTACCCAAAGGAAGGCCAGTACACACATTTCCTCCTGAAGACTTCAACATCCCCTTTGGGATCTGACATGAATGACACTGTCATCTGTCCCGGATTTTGAACATTTCTCAAAGGGTCTGCATTACACCATTCAGGTACCAATGCAGTCGTGCAGTTTCACTGAATTGTTGCCGTCGAAAGTGCTGGCTCTGTTTATTTATTTACTCACGTTACCCTACGGGTTCCAGAGGACCACTAAATAGAGGAGGTTACGACAAAGTGACAAGAAGTAAGGCATGAGAAGGAACAACAAGTCAAGGTGAAAGAAAGAAATACGTTCATTTGGAGTGAAATAAAGGCGCACTGTGTGTAATCTTAGTAACAAACAAAAAATGGAAAAGCATCATTGCACAATGCCAAGGGAACATATAAAATTGCAATTTTACAAAAAATTTAGTGGGCTTCTTTAGTGAAACAATACCATCTAGTAACGCGATAGTGCATGGCAGTGCAGATTTATTGAATGATTGCCTGCACCAAAATATTTGCCTGAAACTGAGATGTTTATAGAGTCGACTTGACGAGTATGAAGGGGTTTCAAGCTGAAGATAGCTAGACCTCGAGTTGTTGCAGTATTTATGAAAAATGCGTAGAAGGGCTTCAGAATAGTGGGAACCCAAATTGTTTAGGAAAATACCATCACACATACTTTTGGGCAGTGCTGGATGAACAATGTAATTACCTATTATAGAGTAGCCAACTAAAGAGCCCATTTAAAGAGGATGTTGTGCTACTTTCTTTGAGATGAGCGAATGGTGAGGCAGTTGACATTTAGGATGAAGAACAGTTTTATCAAGAAGAGTTGTAAAACAAAGTCTGGCTTAATATTATTTCATGCCTCCATCTTTTAGTGAGGTACTGAGCAGGACTGTTAAAGCAGTAGCTGTAGTAAGCTACGAAGAGGGTTCAAAAAAGCCATAGCATTTCATTCTCAAGCCAATTTTATTCTTTATCACCAGAAGTCAAAAATGCAGCACTTGCATGAACTGCAGCACAGTAGGACTGTGTTTCACAACCTTGAAGGTGTCATGAAAATTATGCTAAATTTGTTATTGTTACTTAACTAGACACATCAGTCATTTGAAACTCTTAGGCATGGAAGTTGTATCCTTCTAAAGGATGTCGATACTTTGAAACAGATGCCAATATTTTTGTTTAAAAGGGCAGCTCGAAGATTTTGTGTACCATACCAGCCTCAATTTACATAGACAGGACAATGGCTAGTGAGTGCTACTCTGCTTCAGCTGAAAGAACTTTATTCACATTGCTTGGGGTTTGAAAGCAAGCTATAAAACCTGTGGACATCACACCGATTTGACGAACTTGATGCTTGTGATAACACGACCACATTATACTCTTTAGAAATGGTGCTTAGCAAGGCTGTTCACATGCTTTGGCTACACAAACAACATGGATGCCATGTTGAGTAGTTCCTTCTCAGTGTGCATTTCTGTGCTGTTTGAGATTGCCCTTCTGTGCAGTGGGAAGTTTGTTTTTTCTTTGCTTTTTGGCTTTGTTGCTGGTACTGCTGTGTTGTGTTCAGCATGTGAATCGTGAGAAGGCGGATGGTTTCTATTAATCTTTGCAAGAGAAAAAAAATTTTATTTTATTAGTAAATTACATTTTTGCAGTATCAGAAACACCATTCTTACTGCAGGGAAACGTTTGTTAAGTGAGAAAATGCAAGTGGTTACGTTACCTTAAAATGGCCGCACCAAATGCCACGATGTCATAAATTTTGATGGTGTCCACTATGTCATACAAAGTTGCTAAGTACATTGTTCCAGAGGGACCATAGACTTGATGTACGAAGTTTCAGGGAATTCAGTTTGAGACATTGTAGCCAAAATACGAAAAATACATTTTGAAATCTGGGACGTCATGTGAGGAGTTTTTAGCCTTAATTTTCTCCTTTATTAATGGAGATATCGTGGTGAAATGGATGACATTAAAGTCTTCAAAGTACATTTTACTGATTAAAAGAAATTTCTTGTTTCACTTTAGTGACAGTAAATAATGAAAAAAAATTGTAAAAGAGTCTTTTGTTGTGTACGAACGATTTGGTATATTGTGAACCATTTTGTGCAGTCATGATAAAAGTTCACTTACAACACGCTTTAAGTCAGTAGTGCCCATGTCTGTGTCTGTATCTTCCATAATCATATCAGTGAATGAGGGAAGGGAATTTCAAGGGCTCATTTTTTTGTTTGCACACCCTAATAAAACTCATCTGACAATGAAGCCGAGGAAGATGTAGAGAACGTCGATTGTGCTGTATTACATGTATTGTAGTGATTCTGATAGAGACGTAGATATAACAAACTGGACAAAAACACAAGTTCCTACTGGCAGTGACCGAATGTAGAACCTTCGGATTATGTACCCAATGCTCTGCTAATTAGGCGGTGGTGGCATTTGTCTCCTCGTCCGCCACATCAGGTATTTGTTTGTGTGTGAACCTGGGAGTGTTAGTCAGCACCACTCGTAGCCATGACAGCAAGTGTGGAACACTCTTTCTTTACCGTCATGCATCACATAGCACATGATCCTTTTTCGCAGAGAAAAGCCGCTAGGGCTTATCCCAGGGTAGAAGGATTCTGAATTCCTGCAGCAGACATTACGAGAGGCAAAGTTTAACAATTAATTAATTTTTTTTACCATGTAACAAGGATGGACTTCATTTTGACCAAGCAAGCTGTTGTTTGAAGCCAGTTAACAATCACTAGCACTCAAAGGGGCTGCCGAGAATTCACAGTCAACTCCTTGCTTCCTTTTCAGCACTACTCAGTATTCACTCAGGACATGGAGGAGGCCATCTTAATATACATGGGTGGCAACAAGAAACAGTCTCTGCCCCAATCCTTACTCTTTGTCAGCTTCTTGCACCATGCAAATGTGCACTGACAGCAAGCCCAAAGAATGTTCGCACAATGTGGAGGAAGCTTGGAACAACGCACGAGCCCAAATAATATTCAGGCTCGTACGAAAAAGCAGAAAAAAAAAAGTTCAACAAGTTGGTCTCATCGTTTATCTTTTTCAAAAGTATGCCTTTGACTTGCTCAGTTTGTGTTCTGTCTTCAATCCTTTCACTGCCAATGCTGAGATAATTCGGCAACCATGCACGCACGGACCCAGCCAGTCCCGAACATACTCATTGAGGCTTTTTAAATCGCACCCTGGCCTTCAATTCTTGCTTAAAGAAACAGTAGGGGGTTTCCATCATCTACGAAGAAGGTATATAAACAAATATAACTTGTGGCAAACAGATGGAGCACATGTGTTATGCAACGTCATTGTCTAGCTTCTCGTTGCCTGCATGTCAGCAGTGTAGCTATGACAAGCTAGTACATGCCCGTGCAACTTGAGCAGATTTTGATGAACTTAACTCTGAAAAACATGGATGATTCTGGCTTTTCACTTTGAATCAGTGGCAAATTATATTTTGTTAAATAGTTAATTACTTGTAACATCTCTGTAATTCTTAACTTGCTTGAATAAGTGCAAATCCTTATTTGATTTTTATGAGTATGAGAATTGAAAAAAATTATTTGATGCTCAGTGAATATATTTACATGACCTGCTCAGCATTCTGCTGTATTGCTAGAACAAAATTTGCACGGAAAAGAAAAAAGAAGCAAACAAAGGACTCTGCTGGAAATTTAAACTGTGCAGAAAAAAAAAGGAAAACATGGCAGTGGCAGGGTTAAAGCTAGTTAAATGCAGGTTTAGTCTGTAATTATTCATCATGTAATTTCACAATTCTCGCTGTACATTTTTTTTCGGTAACTCAGACAAAGAGAACGCTGTTTGTACCATCTTCTCATTACTTGTCCAATAGCATATAGCATATCTGATGTGATAATTGTGGTACATTTATTTTAATCATAGTGATGAAAGTGAATTGGGACAAGTCTTGTGTAGAAATTGGTGACATAATCAATGCACCCAATACTTGTGCTCTCACTTGCTTGATTATGCAGAAAATTGCAAAGCTTGCAACTGTCGAAATGAGGTGGTGTCATGGAAAAAAACAACAAAATGGGAGAAGGTCATGCTCTTGAAGCCAGTTGGGCAGATATCTTGGTGGTCCTTTGCTTCTCTACTCGGAAGATGAGGAAGTGCAGTGAGCTGTTAGCAGTTTGTACTATACTGCTGATGTGCCCCAGAACAAAACCTGCAAAATGTGTGCGAAAATTTCAATGATGCAGACATGTCCCTTTCTGTGGCCCATTGAAGAAGACAACAAAAACTTGTGTTGAAGTTGCTTGACGTCCTACAGCAGAGATGCTCACTGAGCAGCAGCACATGGCTGCTGCAGCTCACAAACCTAAAACACATTTTCAAGCTCGTAGACCACTACAAAAACTAGGGGAAAAATTTTAAATAACAAATATAATTTCATCTCATTTGATTTAATTCACAAATGGAATAAGCATATATGAAATGCATATTTATAATACCCATTGATGACAAGAAATGCTCGAAGGAACGAATAGTTATTTGCTTGTTTTTATAATCAAATTACCTAAATGCATGCTGCTCATGTACTTACGGGACTATCGACGCTATACTGACCACAGGATGAAGACATGTTTGCTTAAAAAACTACAGTGTCGTCAAGGCGACACTGGAGTGCATCAATTTACTACCATAACATTCATGATAATGTTAACTCATGAAACTTGCTTGGAATTTTTGTCAGTTTTATTTGAAAGTCTGTTGACAAAGTACCACCTTCAATACTGTAGTCAGTGGTGTAATTCAACCTACAATTACAAGATATTTTGAAGGCTCTCGTTTCTGCTGTATACAAGCTTGTTTCAGTTTAAATAATAGTGGTATTTTTGTCAGGTAATAATGTTCCTCTATTACACCTGTGGACATTTGTTTCAGAAGGAATGTGGAATTTTCAGCCTGCTTTTAAAATTATCTTACCAGTCTGGGGCTGCTTTGAAAATGGTTTGCTTACTTTTGAAAAAATATCCAATTGGTATTCAACCTGGTGTCATTGCTATTCGATTCTGCTCTGAAATTCACTATCCATGCATCCCTACTAAAAACACAGCTTGTGTCACAAATAGAATGTTCTGTGAGAAAATCTCCGAGCAAAACTATTCTCTCATTTTCTTGAAGCCCTAAGCATCCAATTGCTGCAGCGGCCGTATTGCTGTGAAAATGTGGGGACAGCAACCGCAGCTTCAGCCACAAGCTCTCCAACACACTGGAGTTGGCTTGCTTCTAGCATTTACTTCCTCCATGGATGGTGCCTAGAGATGAGGGACAGTGCCAGAGCATGGTGGGATCACCGCCGAATGTCAGATAATGTTAATATATAACTGTTGCAATTCCTGCATCTATACTTTCCGCTTGTTAGTTACTTGATACGCTTTAATGTGTTTTTCGGGTTGAACTTTCACCAATGGTGTTACTGCTGTACAGCTGGAGACATGCACAAAATAGTATCATACCCAGCTGCCGAACCATACTCATCGCTTGGAATGATCGCTGGAGCTAATATTTCAACAATACTAATTGCATCACAAAATAAGCGCATGAAAAGTTGGGACAGGAATGACTGCGGCAAAGAGCTGTGACTTCTAACTAGTTTATTTTAATAAAAAGTGCTTATATGCAAGGAAAGGGAGAAGGTATGAAACAAGACAAGAAAAAGTGCTCACATTTTCATGACATCATCTTATGTGTTTCGAGTGTACAACCACCTGTGCTTGCTAGCCCTGCTAGATAATCAAATTCTTGATTCAGTCAGCTGATGCGGCAAACGTGTGAGCACTATTTTTTTCTATTGTTGTCTCATACTGTCTCCCTCGCCTTGTATATGTACAGGATAAAACTAGTTGGAAGTCAGCACTCATTGCCTCGCTTTGTTCCATTCCTTTTCTAAACATTTATGCACTGTCAACATTTTGTATTGTATGTATACTAACTTGCACAAGCATGAACTCTTTTATGCTTGCATATTTATTCTCTGCAAAGAGCTCCCTTTGTCTTGCTGAAGTGCTGTTTTGTTGTATGGTTTGCAGAGAAACATAAAACAAAAACATTCCATGGACGTGACCTTCATTAATTTGATACTTTTACTGCACCGAGGAGTTGATGCAAGTCTACAAGCACAAAAGACAAGCATTTGCAATGTGCCAAATAGGGTGCAATGATACAGTTGTATTTTTTTTTTCATGTGGCTTTAATATTTGAGAAATATGTGTCTGATATGTACCACATGTATGCTAAATGTATACAAGTGTATCTTATTTATGTCAGTCTGCACGTGATATTAAATCGAACAATTTAATTTGCACTTTGTTTGACTTTGTAAGTTGCTCGCATTCCTTTTTTACAGATGCAGTGGATATGTAATTACACATGTGTAAATGCTTTAGATGTCGCATTGAAAATGGACTGGTAATGTTGATCCATGCCACTTTATCTGCATTAAGAAAAAAAGTGTAAACTTAAGGGCCTGTTTTCTTTGTTAGGCAGAATATTAATGCAAACTAGCAGATAATGATGCCAAAGAAAGTATAAGGAAGGTTAATAGGTTGTAATGCAAACGTGAAGAAAGAAAAAAGGACGAAAATATAACTTGCCGCCGAGAGGGATCGAACATGTGATCTTTGAATAGCCTTCGATGCTATTAGTCGAGATGGCATGATGCTACGAACCTGCTTCATCATGTTTTGTCGACCACAGATTTTTCATTGCTGCACTATCGCAAACACCAAAGACCAGTGGAGCTTGGGAAAGACGTACACTTATTGCTGCTGGGCTTCTTGCAGCTCCACTGGTCAAGTGGCCACGTTCACAAGACTCTATACTTTCATTTCTGCGTCTACGCAAACTCTCGGCTTCCCTTACTACAAACTCAGCAGCTTCTCTTCTGTGACGCTTGGTGTCTCTCGCTTGAAAGGGACCGACAACTGATTTTTTTAGACCCAGTTATTTTCTGCGTGACAGAAAGCATACCTTTTGTAGTGTTTGTAGCTACAGTAGTTTAATCTCAAAAGCACGTAGTTACTTTTTAAGCGGTATTTTTTGATCTAAAAGGCTCCCAACACGGATGTCTCTTTTTGTTCAGCAACGCTGAAAAATGATAGCGATGCCGGTAGCCCTTTTTACGACTTGTGCATGTTGTCGTTGTTCTGCTTTCGCAGGAGTTTGTGTAACTATACTTAACCATGTTTTTTCTGAGTTTTACAACTATTCAATATAGTCGGGTTTCAATATAGGTAGGTCAATACAGGCGGGTTTTTCGACACCATGTTTTGTGTCTATGCTTTCACGTCTATGTGTGCAAGCTTATTCGTGTAATTTATAGAATGCGAAGCATTTTTTAGCGAATTTCGGTGACTTTGAGCGTATCTGTCTATCTGTCTGTCTATCTATCTATGTGTCTGTCTGTTTGTCTGTCTATCTGTCTGTCTGTTGCCTACGACATTTAGCTCTCCTGGTCGTTCGGATAATGCTATCGTTACCAAAATTGGTGTGACATAACATGTGACTATATGACGAGCATAGCTGACTAGTCATAACATAGAAATCTATCTATCTATCTAGCTAGCTAGCTACTAGATAGATAGATAGATAGATAGACAGCTAGGTAGCTACTTACGTTTGGGTGCTCTCGTGGTCACCCCCTTAACTTGGCATGGACCAAAGTTAGCACGAGAGGGTAAGATGATAGGACGAATATGACGCTCTTGTCCAGACATGAAGATGGCTACAACCCCATCTCCTATGTTGTCAAACACTTCCCGCCAGACAGTGGCACATACCCACGGGAAAGTATGTGCCGCTGGTATGCGGGTATGTGCCACAGGTGATTGACAGTTAGTATCTACCCAGGAACGACCAGAACACACATGAGCAGTTCTAACGTGTGAGCGCTATAAAATACCCGACATCAGTAGCGTATACCCGGCGAATGCAAAGAATAAATGACTGGGTGCCAGCTGGAATCGAACCCAAGTATTCTGCATGGCAGGGAAGCATTTTACCACAGAGCTACGCCAGGTCTCGGAACTACTTTTCAAATAGACGCTAATCTTCGTGAAACGTCAATAGTGCTTGCAGTGCTGCCTGCACCATTTTATAAACATTACATATGTACTCCTTTGATACAGCCGTCACGTCGGGTTAACGTCAATTGTGGTTAGATGCCATGCGCTGAAGTCTATTTGTGTAGCAGTGTCCAGGCCAGCATCTTTGCGAGCATCAGCGCTTCATATCAGCTTCTGGTGTTGCTAATACGCATGTTCCAGTTGGTATTGTTGTGCAAGTGCAAATAGCTGGTTACATAAACATCTGCAACTCGTCACCATATGTCTGTGCGTGCAACATTTTTACATATAGTTATCATCGTTTCCTGATGTTTCGCTCAATATAAAGAAACTGCAACGAAGTCACCTTCCCTTCGCATGCTTCGCATAATGTCGATTCCCAGGTACGTGGGATATGCCGAATTCTTTTACTATTCCAAGACCCGCGTCTCCCTGAAGCAGGATCTTTGCGAAGCTTCTTGCTCTTAGAATCAAATAGGAAAAAAAGTCCTCGAAGAGAGCAGGCATGGAGTCAGGAAAAATATTTCCGATAAGGCACGCACGCACATATAGTCTTCGTAGCGGAAGTATCTGCTGCATACGACAGTCGATGCCAACTTGTCGTTGATGATGAGGTTGTCTTTCGCAATGTTCTTTTGCTATTTAGCATAAAGCTCAGTCTTACTTGGGAATTGGTGAAAATAAACTCCAGGTGTTTACCCGAACGGGACATGCATAACGGGACACAACAATGCACTCTCACACAGCTAACATATGTTCATATACAAACTGCATGTACTGAAGGTTGTACAACCGTCTTCTCGAGTCGAGGAACAAAATACAGCTGCGGAGGGCAAACCAGAGTATAAAGCAAGCCACACTAGAGAGAAATGGAAATCGACAACAACCTCCTTGTGGCACTAAGTCACAAGAGAATTCATACAAATTTTTGAGAAAAAAAAATCGCTATCCACAAACTGCGTGATGATGAGTGGGGCGAAACATCCGTCTGTCCCTACGTTCTTGCTTCCATCCGTCCGTGCGTTCGTGAGTCCATCCGTCCGTGCATCTGTCTGTCTCTGCGTCCGTGCGTCTGTCCATCCGTCCGTCCATCGTATGAAAGTACCGCCATCCAGCGGACATTCCCAGGACTAAACGAGAAGTGGCGCGGCGGGACTAGAGGAGCGGCACGCGCACAGTTTCTTACGGCCTGCGCTTCGTGTCTAGTTCCCACCTTTCACCGCCGCTAGTTCATGGCACTGCGGCCCAACCCTCGCTAAACCTTGCTAAAATCAAGGAGGTTACGTCCTGCGAGTTGATCATGGCGACCCTTTCTTGTCAGATAATGGTCTTAGTACAGCCTTCTAATACTAGTTTCTTTAATAAGCATCATATTCAAGGCAAATTTTATTGGAGATTATGTCACCTATGCTCGTGTCTGTGCGTTATTTCGTCAGAAACAACTATCTTTTTATTCATGATTAAGGCGGACAGGTTTCCTCCTCAATTCAAAAGAGTGCGCTTGTGCCGCTCCTCTAGTGCAGCCGTGGAGATGGCTACCTGCTACTACGACGCACTACTGCTACATACATCGCTGACGCACGACCCATGGCTTAAGGAGCTTCGCCCCTAAAAAATGATAGCATATCCACGAGGTGAATGACGGAGAGTGGAGCGAAGCTGGGTCCGCATGCCACTGCCGCGCCGCTTCGGCCCCCCGTTCTCGTACACCGGGATCTTGTCGGCGCCGCCATGCAGCTTCACGGCACGCTTCTACCTCGCGCACTTGCACATTTGGGTTCCGTCTTCGAGCGCGAGCCGCCGCCGCCTTGCGCGCACGCCGCTCTGCAGCCTTGCCTATGCGCCGACCTTCGTGCACGTGGCACAACGGCTTTTATTTCACTACACTGCGCCCCCTAGCGTACGGCGCCGCCGACGAACGCGCGATTGCCAACGTCTTTGTGTGACGTCATCCCTGTTTTCTTGCACACTCCCATATCGGGGTTCCGCCTTCCAGCGCAAGCCGCCGCCAGCTTGCGCGTATCATACTTTTTATCGGCAAACCGTGAATCATCCGCTGGTTGCGTCCGCGCGTCGTCTGTCTGTTTCACGCACGGACGGACCGATGGATGCATGGACGGACGCACGGACGGACGGATGGGCGCACGTATGGACGTACAGATGAACGGACGGACGAATGGATGCACGGATAGACGGAAGCAAGAACGAACGGACGCCCGGAAGCACAGATGGAATGATGGATGCTTCGACTTACTCATCATCATTCACTCCATAGATATGCTGTGATTTTTATTATTTATCATACTACAAGTAACATCCTCCAGTATTGTACCATTTGCATTTTTCAGGGTGTATGCATTTTCGTTATATGTACAAGTACCGCCCTCTACGGCCGGTTCAAGAACTAACGAAAGGTGGCTACATATACTATTACAACGGGGCACCCACCCTCCGCCCACGCTTTAAGGAGCTTCGCTCTTAAAAACTGCTTACTTGCCCGAAAGTTGGAATGTTGTCGCTCTCTCTTTCTAAACATGTTTTCTCACGAACTCTAAGGATAGCGCAAAACTGATTTGCACTACAGAGTTTTAGTTCCGACGCAAGTGGTTTGCGATCGTAAGCAGCTGCGTTCTTCGCATTCTTCATGAATGAGGCTTGAAGTAAGAAAGAATGCAAAAGAGCTTGGGGTACCCGGAAAAGATGTTTCCATGCAGGTGGTGTTAACACCTCCACAATGCATATTACCACTCCCAGGGAGTGCCGTCCGGAGGGGTTATTGAGCAGCAATAGCCATATTTCCTTTTTTATAATCATTTCTCTCTATACGTAGTTATTTTTAGGCACTAAAGATACAACTCACGTACGTGTTTCAAAGAGCTGCTGCAGACCGCAGCTTCTAGCCTTGACAACCACTCCGAATGTTTTTGGAAAAATAAATAAAGAATACCTATCAAAAGGAAGGCGTACGCCCGTTAGTTCTGTAAGCGACCTCTCTTAATTGCGGCGACGTTGTCCAACGAGACCAAGGGCCAAAAGTATTTGGTGCTCTGTGCTTGTAGAACAGGCACAGCGTTGTTTATTTCTCTCTCTCTCTCTCTCTCTGATGATTGCCAATGCTTTATGCCTCCAAATTTATGCTTTTTAATAAACCCTCTCTCTGTTGAGAACCCCCCTTCCGTAGTTTCACATCGAGCAACGCTTTTGTGCCATGTGTGCGGGGCAGGAGATGCCGCATGGATGG